AACAACAACAAAGTGAATAGTGAGAAATACTGTTAACTGGTGGTACATGGAGGGGGATTATAATTAATTGTAATGAAACAAGATGTATGACTTGTTGAATGTAAAACAGATGATCTGCCCTGTATACTTTCACTCAATCTGCAATAAAAAACTTAAATATATATATATGACAGTGTAGGGGAGAAGTCTTAATGGTACCAGTATATTGCCTCTGCTAGTCTCTGTGAAGAACAGTTTTTCTGGAGGAAATACCCAGTTTGCTTTTAGCAGTCCTATTTGCAGTTTATAAGGAGCTCTGGTGGTGTAGTGGTTATGAGTCAGGCTGCTCACATCTAGGCCAGCAGTTCAAAACAACCATCTATTCTGTGGGAGAAAGATGAGATTTTCTAATCCTGTAAAGATTTACAGCCTCGGAAATCCTACACAGGAAATCCTACACAGCACACTACTACCACCGCCATTTGCGATTTATAAACCTGAGCTTCTACACACTCATCTCGCTGAAGAATCCTTACAAAGTGGGTCTCCCTGAATGTTGTCTGACCTTCAGATAATTCAGTTAGCTCTTTGGACCAATAGTGCTTAGAGTGGGGACTTTGGTCTGCCATTTGCCTAGAAATAGTCCATCTCCAGAAGTTTTCTATTCTAATTCTTTGCTCTGGTTATTTCTTCTAACAGGACAAAAGGAAATTTCATTTTTTAAAAAAAACCTCAGATGCTTAACTCAATTGCCCTGGTAAATGCTAGTCACTTTACATTGTTTATGCCCACCTTTGTCTCCCCACCTTATTTTTCTTTAAACAACTTATTGAGATACAGTTCACTCATTCAAAATATATGATTCATTATTTTTTAGTGGATGCATAGTACAACTATTACCACAGTCTAATTTTAGAACATTTTTTTTACTCCAAAAAGAAGCCTCATACCCATTAGCAGTCAGTGCTCCCCCACAACTTCCCCAGCCCTAAGCAGCCACTAATCTACTTTCTTTATAGATTTGCCTATTCTGGACTTCTTCCACTTAGCCTTCTGCTTTCCAAGATTCATCCATGTTATAGTATATGTTGTTGTTGTTGTTAAGTACTGTGAAGTCACTTCCAACTCATAGCTACCCTGTACAGGGTTTCTGAGGCTATAAATCTTTACGGGAGCAGAATGCGTTGTCTTTCTTCCCAGAACTGCTGACCTTGTGGTTGGCAGCCCGACTCTTAACCACTATGCTACCAGAGCTGCTTGTTATAGTGTATATCAGTAGTTAATTTCTTTTCTAGCTAAATAATATTTCATTGTTTGGATATACCACATTTTGTTCACCCATTCATCAGTTGGTGGGCATTTGAGTTGTTTCCTCTTTTGAACTACTTTGAACGTTGTTGTTGTTAGGTGCTGTTGAGTTGGTTCTGACTCATAACCACCTTGTCTTGTATAGGGTTTCTGAGGAAAAGCTGGTGGGCTTGAACTGCCGACCTTGTAGTTTGTAGTCTAGTGCTGATCTGGTCCTACAGCGCCGTACCAGTAGTCCATTTTGAACATAGCTGCTATTTATATTTGTGTACATTTTCTGTACATGCTTTTGTTTCTTTTGGGTATACGTCTAAGAGAATGTAAGAGCCATACTGGTTCTTATATGTGAAACTTACATTGTGTCTATGGGTTTGTAAATGCAGTAGAATGGATCTGGCCAAACATAATGACTCTCCATTTTAATTGTGAAAGTTTACAGATTCTGAAATAATGGAATTGATCAGAAGCCTGCAATGAAATGGAGAAAAAGACAAGAAAACTGTTCTTTATGAGAAGGAAAAGAATGGGTGTTGGAAAGGAGGCTATAAGAAAAGATTTTCAGACTTGCTGACCTTTTTGCCACCTATTGGCCAACCTGCTTTTTTTTTTTCCTTCCTGCCTCTCTACTTCATTCACTTATTAGCATTTCATCTCATAATCAGTAGCTAAGATTACATGGAGAGAAGTGATGTATGTAGATTCCAAGACCACTGTGAGACCAGGTTACACTGGCATCCATGAACTTGTACCTAATCCAGTTACTTTTAGTTGTTGTTGTTAAGTGCTGTCAAGTTGGTTCTGACCCATAGCAACCTGTATAGGGTTTCCTGGGAGCTGCTGGTGAGCTTGAACCGCTGACATTGCAGTTCAAATGGCTTTGCAGTCTGGCACATTAGCCCATAGCACCACACCAGGACTCCTTTGTTGTTGTTGTTGTTAGGTGCCTTCGAGACCATACTGACTCATAGTGACCCTATATGCACAACAGAATGAAGTACTGCCCGATCCTGGGCCAACCTCACAATTGTTGCCACACTTGAGCCCATTGATGCTGCGACTTTGCCAATCCATTTCACTGGGAATCTTCCTCTTTTTCTCCGACCTTCTACCTTACCAAACATGATATCCTTCTTCAGCAACTGGTCCTTCCTGACAATATATCCGAAAGTATGAGAGACGAAGTTTGGCCATCCTGGCTTCCAGGGAGCATTCTGGGTGTACTTCTTCCACCACAGATCTGTTGGTTCTTTTGGCAGCCCATGGCACTTTCAATATTCTCCCCCAACACCATAACTCAAAAGCATCAATTCTTCTATGGTCTTCCTTATTCACTGTCCAGTTTTCACATGCTTATGAGGTTATTGAAAATACCATGGTTTGGGTCAGATGCAGCGTAGTCCTCAAGCTGACATCTTTGCTCTTCAACACTTGAAAAAGATCTTGTGCAGCAGATTTGCCTAATGCAATACATTGTTTGATTTCTTGACTGCTGCTTCCATGAGTGTTGATAGTTAATCCAAGAAGAATGAAGTCCTTGACAACTTCAATATTTTATCTGATGATAAGAATGTTGTTTATTGGTCCAGTGGTGAGGATTTTTGTTTTCTCTGAGATAGTCCATACTGAAGGAAGGCTGTGCTCTTTGATCTTCATCAGTAATGCAGATGATACAACCTTGCTTGCTGAAAGTGAGGGCTCCTTTAGACTCCTAAAAAAGGCTAGAGGTGGGTAGACAGGATGAAGTTTTATTTATCTAATTATCTCTTACAAGCCAAAGCCTCAGATTCCTAAAGACGGCACTTAACAACAACAACAACTAATACAAAATTTGTTTTAAGCTGTTGACATTGTTCTAAGGGAAATCTATCAATCTTCTTAGATTAAGTGCAGTTGAAGATTATGACTACAGGTTTTATGAAAGTTGAAATTGCAAAATGGTTAGTTTTTTAAGGGTTAGGGAAAATCCTTCTAGCACTATATACCCCTCATTCGCAAGATGCCCTCATAACTTTTTCAGTGGGTCTGAAAGTACAATCAGTGTTGCCTAATCTCAACAAATCTTACCATTGCTCTTAACAGCTTCCACCATAGTTCAAAAGTAGATCCGTTTCAGTGTTCCTTCTATAGGCAAATACAAAACAAATTTAATGTAGTACAGACTAAAAATGAATCTATAAAGAAGCAGTCTACCATTCTACCTTTACTGTGTTTAATTAGAGTCCTATGAATATCAGTGTAGAAAGAATCCTCTCTGTTTACATTACAATAGAGAATAATTATCTTTGTTCTGTAAATTTCACCAGGTGATCTCCAACAGCATCTTCAAGCTATGTTCATATTACTTCGCCCAGAAGACAACATCAGGCTGGTAAGTCAGTTTTTAGTTATATCATTTTAAACTCTATTCCTCAAAGACTGAAATAGCCAACAATTTTATGTCCCATTTTAGTTCTGGGAACAGGTAGACTAGGAAAGAAGAAACAGTGTGACCCCATCATCTAGGAGCTTAAGATTCAATTTGGGGATATGAGCCACTGTTAAATAATTTGATGGTTAAAATTGTTGGTAAACACCAGATTTAAGTTATTGAGAGAAAAAACTCGGTGGCTTGATGTAGTTGAGAAAAGTTTCATATGAAGCAGTAGTTGTTGTTGTGAAGTGCCATAGTGTCGATTCCAACCCATAGCGACCCTGTATAGGGTTTCCGAGAAGCAGCTGATGAGTTTGAACCCCAACCCTACAATCTGGTGCATTAACCTACATAGGAGCCCTGGTGGCACTGTGGGATTAAGCATTGGGCTGCTAATCACAGGTCAGTCAAACCCAATAACCTCTACTTGGGGGAAAGCTCTCATAGAGATTTACAGTCTTTGAAATCCTACAGAGCAATCCTACTCTGTCCTATAGAGTAGCTATGATTTGCAACTGACTTGATAATAGTGGGAAACGTTGAATGGACTTTTAATTTATCATAATCTTCATATAGCCTATTATCATCATTTATCATCATTTCTTCACTGTTAGTTTTCTTAGGGGTGATGGTGGTGGTTATGTGTTGTGGAGTCAGTTCCAACTCATAGTGACCCTCGATAGCATTTCCGAGTCTGTAAATCTTTATGGGAGGAGAAAGCTTTATCTTTCTCCTGCAGAACCACTGGTAGTTTCTTAGAGTTGTTGTTGTTGTTAAGTGCCATCGAGTCGGGTCCGACCCATAGCGACCCTGTACAGGATTTCCGAGGGTGTAAATCTTTACGGGAGTAGAAAGCCTCATCTTTCTCCCACGGAGCGGCTGGTAGTTTCGAACCGCTGACCCTAAGGTTCGCAGCCCGATTCGTAACCACTACGCTACCAGAGCTCCTTAGTTTCTTAGAGTAGTACCTCTAATATATAAAAGTAGGAAAACAAAAATTGGGAATGAGCGTGTTTCTTGGTGTAAAGTGAAAATATTTCTAGCTGTGGCCTACTTCAGTCATTTACATTTCCTAGCTGGCCCTCTCAGTTACTACTACCCCTTCAGTAGCAGTTGTTCTGGTTAAGTGCTGTTGAGTCCATTTCCAACTCATTCATAGCAAGTAGTGGTGTACCATTATAGATTTTTGAATCAGGAAATGACATGAGACAAGTATAATATATATGGAAGAATCCTCCGAAGCTAATGCAGAATAGAGGAAGAGGAGTGTTATTTTACATCATGTAGGCCAGCTCTGGGTACATAGCTATTGCAGTGATCCAGGTGTGTAATCATTAGATTAGGGTGGTAGCTTGGAAATTAAGGGAGAAGCACCAGTTACTATTGAATTAATTAAATACCTATTGCTATTGAATTAATTCCATACTACAGGTCAGAGTAGAACTGCCCCATATGGTTTCCAAGGCTGTAAATCTTTACAGAAGCAGACTGCCACATCGTTATCCCATGTAATGACTGCCTTGCAGATTCAAACATCTGATCTTTCGTTTTGTAGCCAAGTGCTTAACCATTACACCACCAGGGCTCCCTGTGAGAGCCACCAAACAGAAAAACCCACTGCTGTCAATTTAATTGTGACTCATATGACATAGTAGAACAACCCCATAGTGTTTGCAAGGTTATAATCTTTACGGAAGCCAACTATCAAATCTTTCTCCCTCAGTACAGCTGGTGGGTTTAAATCCCCAACCTTTTAGTTAGCAGCTTAATGCTTTAACCAGTGTATCACTGGGGCTCATTGTAAGAGCTACCAAAAACAAAAGCAAACTCACTGCCATGGAGTTAATTCTTACTCACAGTGACCCAATATAGAGTTTCCAAGACTAAATCTTTTTAATAGTCCTTCTGATGGAGGGACCGTTCTTTTAAGGGAGCAGACAGCCTCGTCTTCTTTTCTTTCAGAGTGACTGGTGGTTTGAACCACCGACCTTGCAGTTAGCAGCCCAGTACCTAACCCACAGCACCACTAAGATTCCTTTGTGAGAGCCACAAACATGTTAAATTCAAACAGTTGATCTCTACTTTCTGAAGGGTGGGGAGAGAGAGATTGAGTATTTTGTTGTTGTTGTTGTTAAGTGCCGTCTAGTCATTTCTGTCCCATAGCAACCCTATATAGGGTTTCCAAGGAGCAGCTGGTGAGCTGGAACTACCAACCTTGCAGTTCAAACGGCTTTGCGGTCTGGCGCATTAACTCACAGCGCCACACCAGGACTCATTGAGTAGTTGACAACACTGTAAAATTGATGACCAAGTCTTGCACTTCATGATATTCATTGATTCTTCATTCATATATTATTTCATGTTTAAATTCTGTCATTTGTTCAAATGCTGCCTCTGTTGCCTCCCTTAAATGAATATGGCCATTAATTTTTGTTGAGAAACTTTCAAATTTAAAGAAACTGAAATAAGGAACTCTTCCATAATTGTTTTTATATTTTAACACAAAAGTGAGATTATACATTTTTGTAAATCTTGTATGTATTTTTTTTTATATGCTATCTTGTCTGTATTCTAAAACTCTAGTAGCCATAGTGGTTACGAATTGGACTGATAATCTCAAGGTCAGTAATTTCAAAGTACCAACACTTCCACAGGAGAAAGATGAGGCTTTCTGTTCCTGTAAAGATGCACAGCCTCGGAAACCCTATACAGGGTCACTGTTAGTTGTAATCAATTCCACAGCACATACTGCCACCGCCAAAGCTATTCTAGACTTCTCAAACTGTAGAGCACATCAGAAACACCTGGGGAACTTATTTAAAACATTGATTTGCTAGTCCCTGCCAGCAGTTAGAGTTTGTAGGTGGGAAGAGGAGATGGAGGGGCAAGAACCAACAAGTTCCTAAGTGATGTTGATGCAGTTGGTCCACTTTAAGAACGACCACTCTAAAACACTTAATAGTCACTTGCACAGGCTGGGAGTCCTGGTGTGGCAATGTAGGATAAAGCACTGGGCCACAAGGTCTGATTGAACCACACAGTCAGTGGTTCAAATTCACCAGTCACTCCTTGGAAACTCTGTACAGGGTCTCTATGAGTTGGAACCAACTAGATGACACTTAATAACAGCAGCAGCATGTACTGGGTGCCCAACAGATATTTGTTGATAACTTCCAAAAATTGTGTGATTTAGTACCACTACAGCTGAGGTCTCTCTTGTCTCGCTTTACACTGTTCTGATTGATAAGCTCTTGAAGTTTAGATTGTACCTATAAATGTTAAAATGGCTATAGCCATGAGACAGTGTCTTGGGAGAGCACTAAAGGAAACAGTTGGGAAGGCAGAACTGGCAATTAAGTCTTTTCTTCTTGCTAAATAAAATATGCAGCTTCCGCTGCTTTACATTTATAAAATATAAATTCAGAAAATGTAACTGATATCTTCAAATTCATTCAGAGTTCAAATGACAAGCCATTTTACAGTTGTTTTGAACTGTTACAAACACATAGTCATTATGTTTCAGATTATTGAGTGAGTCATCTTTAAGAAAATCAGTGACTACATTGTATGACTTTGGACAAATTAGCACTTTTATTACTGAAAGGCGCATTTGTTAGACTCAGAGTAAAGCCTTTTGTTTTGAGTTAAATTTGGAATGCTAAAACTCTCATCTTGGGGCTTGTGCATAAGGTTAAATATTTGATAGTCAACTAAAAGCCCTCCCTTTATTTTTTCCAAATAACCCAACAACAAATAACAATAGCAACAAACCCACTTTTTTCTTTAGTACTGAAATAGAATAGGACTAATATTTTTCTCCAGGAAATCTCTGCATTCCAAATACCTACTAGGTCTTAACCATTCACTTTAATACTGTGTCGCTGAGAAAATGAAGAAAATGGTTTATAATACTCTTATATATTATCAAAGATCCAGCTAATAAAAAAATAGGCTGGGAAATTGAGAATTGAGTTCAAGTCATTCTCTTAAATTAGAGAGATGAAGTACTGCTAAGATAGAAAGAGGCCTTTATAATACTTTGCAGGAAAATTTTAGAAAATGAAGTTTTTTGGTTGTTGTTGTTTTGTGGCATTTAAGAAATATATTGATTTTTTTTTTTTATCCAAAATGAAAATAGCTTTATTTTTTCTAAAATGTAAATATGTACTACTGGTGGGACTGCAAGATGGTATAAACCACTATGGAAAACAGTATGGCACTTCCTTAAAAAGTGAGAAATAGAGATATCATATAATCCAGCAATTCCTAGAAAAAATAAGAACACACTATGAAATGATTTATGCATACTCAGGTTCAGCACAGCACTATTCATACTAATAGCAAAAAGATGGAAACAACCTAAATGCCCATCAATGGAAGAAAGGATAAACAATCTCTAGTACATGTGCCCAGCTGAGTACTACACAGTATTAAAGAATAATGAATCTGTAACACATTTCATAACATGGATGAACCTGGAAGACATGCTGAGTGAAATAATTCAATTGCAAAAGGACAAATATTATATGAGACTACGATTATGAAAAGTCAAGAAAGGGTTCTCTCACTAAAAGGAACATTCTTTGATGGTTCCCTGGAGCAGGAGAGTAAATCACAAACTAGAGAGACACCACATATTAACTGGGGTGAAGGGGAAGACAACAGACAGTAAGAGGGAGGTCAGCAAAAAATGATAGCGACAAGGAAGACACTGGGAGGTATGCAAGAATTAAAAACAAAGGAGGTAAATACTGTTATATACACCATTCTGCAATAGTGGTGATCTACAGGTACATGCTTTGACAGACACACAGGTTGAACAGGTGTGGGAAGGAGAATGGCACTATGACCATGTATATATGTCGGTTTGACAGAATAAATCACGTAAACAGGATTGCTACATGTCTGTTTACTTATGCTGCAAGTATATCCATGAATGTGGTAGAGCACCTCAATGG